TGCCATGCGGGAGCCTCTGAGACCTCTACCAAACCTGAACACAGATCCACCACGCTTACTGCCACCTAAGAGCCTGAACATGCGGGAACGTCCCACCTCAGCTCGCTCTGAGAGTATCCTGCTACGTGGCCCATCCCACAGAGAGAACATGTCCAATTTGAAAAGGGCAAGCACAGAGGTAGAGTGCATTACACCTCCCAGTCCCCTCTGCCAGGAGAGCTTTGTGACATTCAGTAACACTCTGCCCCGCGTGCACTCAACTGGATTCGAAGAACCGGTGCCTCGCCGCCATGCTGCAATCCATGCCTCCATGGACTCCACACGTTCCAAGCAACTGCTCTCACAATGGAAGACCAAGAACGAGAACCGCAAGCTGTCTCTGCAGGTAATGGAGGCTGAGGCTAGCCAGCTGTCTCCCCAGCGAAACATGGAGCTCCGCTGCAGCTCTGAACCCTCAGCCATGGGCTTAGATGGTGAGCTCCGTGGTGGACCTCCTGGACAGTACATGAAGCTAGCTGCTAGTGCTATGCCATTAGCCAATCATAATAGCTCTGGTGGCCTAACTGGTGGAGCCAGGGTATCGATCCAGTCACGACCAGGATCGTCCCAACTGGTGCACATCCCTGAGGAGACCCAAGAGAACGTGAGCTCCTCACCTCATGAGAATGGTGGGGAGGTGAATGATGGTGGGGGAGGGGGCGGGAATGCACGGTCGAAATGGCTGAAGGTGGCAGAGAAGAGCACCGTCTGTCGGACTAACAGCCAGCCACGTATCATGCAGGTCATCGCAATGTCTAAGCAGCAGGGCATGTTGCACGGCAGTCCTAAAAGTGAGGGGAGCACCGTGAGTTGTACCGGATCCATCCGTTACAAAGCCCTCATGGATCAGGATCCCAGCGCGGGCATTGTTCGAGTGGAGGCCCACCCTGAGAACAAGCCAGTGGTTAAACCACCATCTACAGATGGCAGCGGGTCCTGGAGGTGGAAACCGCAGGAGCGGGGCAGCATCCGGCAGTCCCTTGAGCTCAACGACCTGAACCGGGACTCCGAAAGCTGCGAGTCATTGAAAGACGGCTACGGCTCCATCGATGGCAACCGGAGCCTACCTGACATGAGCAACCCCCATCATCCC